CTGCGTCCTGCCGGCACCTCCGGCCCGGGAGCAGCCAGCAGACCAGCATCCCTGTGTCCCGAGAATCTGCCCTTTTCCTCCCAAACAGGAGTGTAACCCTCAGGTGGCAGCTGGGGAAACTGAGGCACGGCCAGACTGAGTGATCCGCTTGACATCCCAGGCAGAGGGACACCAACCCAGGGCTCCCAACGCCTCGTCTCGCCCGCAGCAGAGCCAAAAGCAGCTTCTTGTTTCGCAGGGGCTGTGAAGCGGAGCACACAAATACTGTGTACAATCCAACTGTTTGGGCAGAGCTTTCCTGCTCGGCGAGTCGTGCCAGCGGGGTCCGCGGGGCGATGGTTGCTCTGTCCTGTAAGTCCTTGAACAAGTCACCGCCGTTGGAGCAGGGGCTGTCCCGCGGCCGGCACAGCTCCGTCTCTCTGCCTGTGACTTTGCACCTGGCTGCTCCTGTTTCACACTCGGGGTCTTCAAAGTTGAACCCCACAACTTCAAAACTGAGCGTTTTACAGCCCAAATCAATAGCAGCCCTCAGGCAAATTTACCGCTGATGGGGAATTTTCTGCTGTAACAGTTTTCCAGCAGAAACTGAGCTCCCACCAAAAGCAAAGTTTGCTACGGGAACTTTGTGTTTTGCAGAAATGTTTTGCTCTCCTCTGTTAATGAGCACACCAAGCGTCAGCTTCGCTTGGAAGATGCTGAGAGGAGACGCTGCCGCTTGCTGGAGTGGCTCCAGCCGTCGTGCTCCATGCAGAGCAGGAGGCCTTGATGGGTTTATCTAATTAGGGACAAAAGTAACTGTTGAAACATTATCATTTCTTTTAAATGAGTTTTGACTTACTGAAGTCAGAGTGGTCCCAAAATGGTCCCGTGGGTACCATCGCATGAGCTACGTGGAGGGATCTCCACATACAGACCAGTTTCCACCAAGACGCTTTTAAATCTGATTATTCCCAAGTGTTTTGTTTTCCTTGTAAGCCAGGAGCGGAGCTGGTGCTGGGCCAGGCCAGCCTGGGCAGAGGAGCCACCAACCCAGCCCAGGTCTCTGCCGAAGCAGGAGAGGGGAACTGCTTTGGAAACCGTTTTGCACGTCAATGTGCTGGTAATGATTAAGTCAACACATGTCTGTGGTTAATGATCCCGGGCCTGCGGTCATTTTGGTGCTGTGCGAGTGGTCTGTGCCGTCACCCCGGCAGTGACCCAAAGAGCCCAGCTGTTTGGCTGCAAAGGGACAAATCTCGGGGGCTCCTGGGCACCGCGGCCAGGCCCGGCATCGTCCCTGCCCTGGCCCTAGAGCTGAGCCGGCCTCGCAGGGCTGCTGTGACCCCACGCGCTCCTAAAAGCCCGGAGAGGGACCCCTAACCCAGGCACTGGGTTTGCAGAGGGATGTTGTCAGGGAAATTAAATGGCGTGTATCAGTGCAGCCAGGTGGACGGGCTGCTGTGAACTTGCTCCTGGTCGATAGAGTCGCCGAGCACAGCGACACCCCAAATTAAGGGGCACGTTTACAGCCCCGGGGTTCATCGGCCGGAGATAACCTTGTGTCCCGGGCAAGCACTGCAGAGGTGAATTTTGTGATACCCAAGTGCTCAGCGAGTGCCAGCAGCATCGTTCGCTCCCCACAACCCCCTTTTGCAG